AGCGCCCTTCGCGCCCGGCGACGCGAACCGGCCTTCGGCCGCGTGGCGCCTGTCCGACGCCAGCCACGCAGCGGCCGCGCTGCTGCGCTCTCCCGCGCAGCGGGCGCCCCATTTCCCGGCTCCCCATCCTCCGATGGGATAGGTTCCGGCGCCTGACAGAAGCAGTTCTGGGGGCCGCCGCCTGGCTTGCCTGCCGGCGGCGCCTCGGCCGCGGGGCAGCAGCCCCCGCTGGGCTGGGGGGTCCTGGCCCCGCCCAGCACTCCGCGCGCCTGGCTCTCAAGCCGGCGCCCGGCGGCCCGTGGCCCTCGCCGTCGCGGCCGCGCCCGGTCCTTCACTCTGGGTGCTCTTCCTGGGGGTGGGCGGGCTCCCGCGCCACTTCGAACCCCTGGTAGAAATCTCGGCGCAGGCGCGCGCGCCTGCCCTGCGCCGCACTGTGGCGCACGGGCCCCTTGGACTCCAGCGTCGCAGCGACCCTTCCTCTGCCGCTTCATCTTGCCAGCTCCCCCTTGTTTCTCTCCTATCGGCTGCTCTTCTTCGCTGGGCCGGCGGCTGCAGCGCGCCGGGCCCGCGAGCCACCCGATCAGCGCCGCGGCCCCCAGCCCCAGCAGCGCCATCAGCGCTGCACCTGCTAGGATCACCAGGACGGAGTGGAGCCTGTCTTCAGATAGCTGCGGCGACGCCACGCCCTGCTGCTCTCCTGGGAGCGCGACTGCCCCTCCGGCCGTCTGCTCCACCGCTGCTGCCAGGGTGACTGCCGCCGGCGCTCTGGCGGCCTTCCCCTGGCTCAGCCTTCGCCAGGCCCTCCTTCGGCCGGCAGGCTACCTTCTCCTGCTCCCCACTCTGCATGGCCACCGCGCCCCGGTCGAGGGAGTTCGCGCGCGGCTGCGCTAGCTCCGACGCGTCCTTGGCCATGCGCTTTGCCACGCCGCGCATGGGCTCGCGCGCCTTCCACGGGCATGAGTGGAAGGCGTCGGAGGCCCACCTCCCGAACCTTCGCACCTTCTGCAGGTCGATGCTATAATGCATCGCCGTGGCGCCCCCCATGCGCAGGCCGCGGGGGCCCGCCTCCTCTCGCCGCGCCCCGGCTGCGAGGGCGGCCACCGCGAGCTTGGGAATGCTGGGGCGCGGCGGGCGGCATCGGCAGGTTCTGGGCCAGAAATTGTCGGGTGGGGGGTGCTGGGAGCAGAGCTCCAGAGGCCTGGGAATATTTGGGCGCGGTAGGGAGCATCGGTGGGTGGCGGGCCAGAAATTGTCGGATGGGGGGGCCCACGAACCGGGCTCGGGGGGAGCGGATGCTGGGGCGAGGGGCATCGGCGGGTTTCAGGCAGCAAATTGTCGGGCGGGGGCCCCAGGGACAGAGTTCCAGAAACCCGGGGATGCCGGGGCGCAGTGGGGGGCATCGGTAGGTTTGATGCCAGAAATTGTCGGGCGTGGGGGTTCAAGACGCCGGGGCTGCAGAGGCTGGGGGCGCCGGGGCGCGGCGGGGGGCATCGGTAGGTTTTGGGCGGGTATGGGGGTGGTGAAGAACAAAGGTCCCGGGGGGGGGTCTTGCGAGCTGGGGAGGGCTGGACTGGGCGGGGATCAAGGTGGGTTCCAGGCCAGGAATTTCCGCTCGGGGGGTCCTAAGAACAGCGATGCCGAGGGGTGGTCTGGGTGAGCTGAGGGTTCAGATGTGATGGGGGCATGGTGAAGGCCAGGGTGGGTTTCGCGCGAGGAATTGTCGGGCGGGGGGCCATATGAACAGAGGCCCTGCGGGGTGGTCTAGAGGATGGGAGGTGGGAGATGTCATGCGATCACCGCCCTCAACGGAGCCTCCAGGGGGTACCCCCCCGAGGTCGGGCGTCGCCGTTTCTTGTTCTCTTGGGGAGTGCACTAAGTCTTCGCAGGAGCTTTCGTCGCCGTTTTTTTTCCAGGGTTCCTCGGCGTTCTTTGGGGCTCGTGATGCGGGCCGCGGCTTGCTCGCGGGCCTCCTTGGGGCGCGTGGCCTCATGGGGGGCGCCGCCGAAGGCCCCAGTGTCAGGGTTCATATCTGTCCCCTGGCAAATTTGGGCACGCGCACACGCGCAAGGTTCGTGGCCTCATAAAAGGGGGCTCTACCGAAGCCTCAATAGCAGGGCTCACATGCGTCCCAAGTCCAGTTTTGGCACGGCCCCTCACACGGTGCGTGGCTTCATAAGGAGATTCAGGTAGTTTCACCGAAGGCCCTCGTGGCAGGGTTCGCACCCGTCCCGGTAAGTGTTTAGGCGCGTCGTCGTCGCTGTTTTGTTCGACGAGGTTAATAGAAGATTCGCGTTTTGCTCGCCGTCTTTGTGTCGGGGTGGGGCGAGTCGCGTCGCCGTTTTTCGGTGACACTCGGTAAGTGTGCAGGAATTGACTTATCTTCGCTGGTTTTTCTGAGCGGATGGGTTGGATCAGAAAAAATGGGAGTGATGTCATGCGTGGTGGGGGCAGGGTCGAGGTCCGGGTGGGTTATGGCCTAAAACCGACCGGGGCGCGGTTGTGGTAGCGGCAGGTCCTAGGCTAGGAATTGTCGGGTGTGGGGTCGGATGAACAGAGCTCCAAAGGCCCGGGGATGTCTGGGGCGAGGCTGGGTGGTGGATTTAAGGCCGGAGTTGTGTCGAGTGCGGGGTCTCAAGGATTAAGTTGCAGAGGCTTGGGAATGTCTGGGCGCGGCGGGGGGCATCGGTAGGTTTTAAGCCAAGAATTGTCGGGGGGAGGGTCCCAAAGACAGAGTTTCAGAGGCTTGGGGCTGCCGGGGCGCAGCGGAGGTGTAGGTGTACGTTGTAGGCCAGACATTGTCGGGTGGGGGGTCCCAAGAAGAACAGAGTTCCAGGGGCCTGGGGGTGCCGGGGTGCGGTGGGGGGTATCGGTAGGTTTGAGGCAAGAAATTGATGGTTAGGGGGATCCAAAAACAGAGTTCCAGAGGCCTGCGTATGCCGGAGCGCGGTGGGAGGTTGGGGCCAGGAATTCTCGTATGGGTGGGTCCGAAGTACGGACTTCTCGTGGGGTAAGAGCGAGATGCAGGGGCGAGGCGGGGCGTGTCGGTGAGGTGCGAGCCCACAATCATCGCGTGGGGGGTGACGATGCCGGGGCGCGGGGGGCTGTCGGTATGTTTCGGGCCAGGGGTTGTCGCATGGGGGTCTCCAGAACGGATTTCTCGTGGTGTGGGGACGCCGGGCCGGGAGGGGGGTGTCGGTGGATTTCGGGCGAGGAATTGTCGTGTCACGGGGTCCAAGAACTGAGCTCTCGTGGGGTGGGGATGCAGCTCTCGTGAGGTGGGGATCGAACAAACACGCACACTTTCCCGCGCACGCCTCTGGGGTCGGCCGATCATCATTATAACATGTTTCTTCTTCCTCCTCCTCCTCTTCCCTTTCCTCCTCCCCATCCTTCTCCTTCTTCTCTTTCTCCTCCTCCACTTATTATTTTTCTTCTTTAGCATCATCATCATCATCATCATCATCATCATCATCATCATCATCATCATCATCATCATCATCATCATCATCATCATCGTCATCGTCATCGTCATCGTCATTGCCATCATCATCATCATCATCATCATCATCATCATCATCATCATCATCATCATCATCATCATCATCATCATCATCATCATCACCATCACCATCACCATCACCATCACCATCACCATCATCACCATCACCATCATCACCATCATCGCCATCCTCTTTCCAATCCTCCTCTTCCTCCTCCATCTCCTCCTCCTCATCCTCCTCCGCCGCCTCATTTCCCTCCTCTTCCTCCTCCTCTTCTTCCTCCTCCATCTCCTCCTCAGCCTCCTCCTCTTCCTCCTCCTGTGCCTCCTCCTCCCCCTCCTCATCCTCCTCCTCCTTCTCCTCCTCTTCCTCATCCTCCTTCTCCTCCTCCTCCTCCTCCTCCTCCTCCTCCTCCTCCTCCTCCTCCTCCTCCTCCTCCTCCCCCCAATTCTCTTCGGATGGTGACCCCTTATTCCATTTTTCATCTCTCTCTCTCTCATTTATTCTTCCTTTTATGGGCAGTGAACCTCCTCCTCCCCCCTCCTCTTCTTCCTCTTCCCCCTCCTCTTCCTCCTCCTCCTCGATCTCCTCCGCCTCCTCTTCCTCCTCTTCCTCTGCTCCTCCTCTTGCGCCTCGGCCTCGTCGCCAGCCGCCGTCTCAGCGCCTCCTGCGCCCCCCGCCCGCTCCCGCCGTATGTTCGGACGGGTCGAGCCTTTTCGCCAGTGCGTGCTGCAAGTACTACGCTACCCGCTGGTCTTTGAAAGGAGGTGTAATGGGTCCCCGAATCCCAATCTATTTCGAGCGCCTTCCTACTTCAATCATCGATATGTGTTTTGCGTAAGTTTGCTATTCCTCGGGCGGGCACGAACCCAATCTACTGTGTCCGCCTTCATACTTCATGTTTGAACCTACTTCTTGCGACCGGCGGGTACCCTTACTCACTCTCTGGAGGGTCAAATCTTCTCTAAGTCTGTAGGCCTGTGGACAAAAAGCTGGCGGCTGGACGTAAAGTATTCTACAGATGGACAATGTCCCAGCGGGGATTTCATCCCAAGCACGATGCCGCAGCGGTGTTGCGTCCCCCCCCTCTCTCTTTAGACGGCACTGACAGTCGTCCCTCTGAGATTAAGGATATTTTCCCATGGCTCCTGGCTCTCCCAGCTGCCGTCGGGAAAGCGGATTTGGACGCAAGATCCGACCAAATTCTCATTTGTTGCGGCTGTCGCTGCGTCTTTTGCGTCAGGCTCATCCTTATTAGTGTGGTGCCGGCCTTGCCTGTGCCCGCTATTGCGTTGTCTCTCTTGGGTCGCCCCAGGAATGTTTGTTGCAGCCGCCGTCGGATGTGTATGTGTTCATCAGGAGCGTGAATTAAAACATGCTCCGGCTGCTCCCGGTGCTGCTGCTCCTCCCCTGCTTTGGCCCAGAGCCCATGGGTTTCACCTCGTGGATGCTTCTGGGCTCGTGGGCGGCGCGCCGCGAGAAAAACTTCCCGCTCGCCAGTGGGTGGCCGCGGAGTTTTACCGCAAGCACGAGTGCTTGGCGGAGTTTGCCCTCAACATCGAGGGGTTCCCGCCGGAGGCGGCGGTGCCTGCCCCAGCAGGAGGAGGAAAACGAGGACGACGGATGAGGAGAAGGGGGAGGAGACGCAACAGAACTGACAGGGGTGACAAATATGTTGAGGGAAAGGGAAGGAGGGACGAGTAGAGAGAGGAGAGAGAGAGAGAGAGAAGAGGGGAGAGGGAGGAGAGGGAGGAAAGGGAGGAGAGGGAAGAGACGGAGGAGAGGGAGGAGGAGGAGAGGGAGGAGGAGGAGGAGGAGGAGGAGGAGGAGCAGGAGGAGGAGCAGGAGGAAAGGGAAAGGGATGAGAGGGAGGAGAGGGAGGAAAGGGAGGAGGAGGAGGAGAAGGAGGAGGAGGAGGGAGGAGGAGGAGCAGGGGCAGGAGGAAGGGGAAGAGAGGGAAGAAAGGGAGGAGAGGGAGGAGGGGGGAAGAGGAGAGAGGGGGGGAGGAGGAGGGAGGAGGAGGAGGAGGAGGAGGAGGAGGAGGAGGAGGAGGAGGAGGAGGAGGAGGAGGAGGAGGGAGGAGGAGGAGGCGGAGGAGGAGGAGGACGAGGAGTAGGACGTCGATGACGACAAAAAGGAAGAGGAGGGAAGAGGAAGGAAGAGGAGGGAAGAGGGAGTAGGGAGGAGGGAGGAGGGATGACGAAGGAGGGAGGAGGTAACTAACAGGGAGGAGAGAGCTGGGAGCAGGGAGCAGTGAGCAGGCAAGAGGGAGGAGGTAGGAGGTAGGAGGTAGGAGGGAGGTGGGAGGGGGGGGAGGTGGAGGAAGAGGAGGGGGAGGAACAGGAGGAGGAGGAGCGCCAGAGTAAACCCAGGATGCGTCAAGGATGCTGCTATACAACCTCCCGCCCCAAGTCCCCTCCGCATGAATGCCTACCAGTATTATATCCACTGTGGAAAGCCCCGCTCCAACGAGTGTCCCGTGGGCGTCCCATTCAGGCGAGACCCCATCTTTTAAAGGATCCACCATCCATCTTTTTAGCTGAACGCAGAGAGGGAGGACTACGACAAATCAAGAAAGCGTCCAGCGATAACCTTAGTTTGAAAAGTATATGTATGCCCTCCATGTGTGTCAGGATTGCGCAATTTGCCCCAGTTTGAAGATGAACTGTCTTCCGTTCGTGTAGCTATTGCACAACTGCGGAAGTCGCCATCGAGAGAAGCAGTTTGAACACGACGTGGTTTTCTAGTCGTCGAAACGTTTTGCAACGAGAGTGCGCGGCGCTAAGGCGAGATCGACATTTTGGAAACGACTGGCCCTCTATCCTTTTAGATCTCGGAGACTTGTTCAGACGAGTGCGCGCGACGCTACGGTGAGAGCAGATGTTTTGAAGCGACCGGCCCTCCCTCATTTTAACAGTTTGCATCGTAAACACGAATGGCCGTTACAGTAAGGCGGGAGTCGAATTTTTGGAACGAGAATCTCTCCATCTTTGTAACAGTGCGATCATGGTCAGACTCAGCACAGATTTGGAAGAACATCTCAAGCGAATCGCTTGGCCCAGCCTACGGACACGTCTGGTGGTGTCACAGGGAGGAGTTATCTATAAAGAAATGGGATGGAGAAAGAGGAGAGGGGCGAGGAAGGAGGAGGAGGAGGAAACGGATGAGGAGGAGGAGAAGGGGGAAGTGGAAGAGGAGGAGGAGGAGGAGGACAACGAGGAGGACCAGTGTACACCCAAGACGCATCAACGATGTTGCAATAAACCTTCTTTCCGAGCTCCCTTCTCATAGTTCCTTGCAATAGTTTAGTTTCAAGGCGGCAAGTGCTCCATCAGAAGAAAAACATCTGAGAATTTTCGACCGGGCCACAACACCATTCCTGGGACATCAACGCCGCGAATCAATTTGCCAGTTGCGTCCTGACAATCCTCAAGTGTGCCAGAACACCATGCTTGGGACTTCAACACTTCGAATCAACGTGATTGTTGTTTCCTGACAGTCCTCAACCGTGCAAGAATACCTTTCCTGGGATTTAAGCCATGTGAATCCCCGAACGTTTGCAAACGGTTAGGCGGAATGCGCGCGGCGCTGGGGCGAGAGCCACATTTGTAAACGGGACCGCCCTCCATCCTTAAAGCCGTAGCAGACTATCAAGATGAATGCGCGCGGCGCTAAGACGAACACCACATTTTCAAAACCGACCGCCCTCCATCCTTGAACCTGTTGCAAATGTTCAGGAGGAATGCGCGCCGCGCTAAGGCGAGAGTCACATTTCGAAAACCACCTGCCGTTCATCCGTGAAATTGCTGCAACGTCCAAGCTTCATGATCATGAGTCGTGAGGAAGTCTCAGGTGAAGCGCCCGGCCCTCCTTACCGATATCTCCGAAGGTGCGACTCGGAGGAGTTATGGGATGGAGGAGGAAGAGGAGGAGAAGGAGGAGCAGGAGGAGCAGGGGAGGAGGAGGAGGCGGAGGAGGAGGAGGAGGAGGGGGAGGAGGAAGAGGAGAGGAAGGAGGGGAGGGAGGAGGAGGAGGAGGGAGGAGGAGGAGGAGGAGGAGGAGGAGGGAGGAGGAGGAGGAGGGGGAGGAGGGAAGGAACGAGGAGGAAGAGGAGGAAGAGAGGAGGAGGATGAGGTGTAGGGGGAGGGGGAGGGGGAGGGGAAGGAGGAGGAGGGGGAGGAGGAGGAGGAGGAGGAGGAGGAGAACGAGGACAGTCATTACTAACTCCCTTCGCCTACACTTGCAGCCCTCCGTTCTTCTCCCTTGCAAAGTGTAGGTATGGCATGGATCATGCGGAAGGACTGTCTCCGCAGCTGCGATAGCTACTCAAGCAAGTGCTCGCGCACAGGCCAGCCGGGCGGGCCTGCCACACGCGCGCGCATACGGTTACATCATATGTTGCTTAGAGTAGTTCTGCTTAACGGACTGATGCAGCCATGTTCTCACCAATTCGCAATGGGAGGTTAGCTTCTCGTGAGCTAGAAGAAGATCAACAGTCATAACGACCCATCAAGAACCGGTCACGGTTCCTAATATGACAATAGACGCGCAAACCAGTTGTTATCAGCCGAACGTTCTTCCACGAGGCCAGGAGGCACTGCCTTCAGGAACTGATGATGGAGATCCTGTTTTCGGGGCCCCAGAACATCCACGCGGCTTTCAAGAAGCGGCGAAAGTCGTCTTCCAAGACCCTGGTGATGTCAGGGACCCCACTCTACGCTCCTCGCAGAATGCGAGCATGGAAATCATTGTCTCCGCGACTAGCGGCGACAGCTTTCCTTTTCGGCCAGATCGCCTTGGGTTGGAGCTGATTCAAACCTGGGCGCAAGAATGCCACCCATCCAGGTGTCTTCGGACGACGAGGTATCTGACCCTTCTTCATTGCCTGGTGACGCTGCCGGAACGCACGAGGAGGAAAAAGATCGTCAAACCGATGGTTTAGTCGAGCTGCTTCTTCAGGAACACGAAACCCTGCCCAGGCCAGAGCTTGACGCTACCAACGACCCCTATGAAGATCTGCTCTCTGATGACCTTTCACGGGCGCCAGCAGTGAAGCGACCCCGAGATGGCGTGACCTCGTTGAAATCGCCGATGACCAAGCGATCGTAAACAGTGAGCCCACCGGAAGAGTTGGACAATGCCGGTCTGGGAATTGTTGAAGACCGAGACGCAAATCGCATAGCGCCCCGTTCGCCTGGGGGCGCGGGGGCGAGTCGATCGGGGGCGGCCGAGGGCAAGTCTTGCCCGGGCCTCCATCTTGAAGGGCCCGCTCGCCAAGGGTTCGATCTGGAGCGTCTGCGAGGCGGCGGGGGCCGCGAGCGACGTCGGGGGCGCCATTGCGGTCGGCGCGCGCCGCGCGCTCGAACGAAACGAGCTCGTGCGCGCAAGAAGAATGCTTTCACAATGGGGTCGACTGCGCCGACGCCCCCGAGTTCAGATGTCCCGGAATGGCTGGCGCACGTGAGAAGCCAGCGTGCTCGGCGTGCTCAGTCAACTGCTCCGAGGGCGACGTGAAATTGCAATGCCCCGGCCGCCTTGCCCCCTGCGCGCATAATTGCGCGGCCTTCCGCCCCCGAGACTGGGAAGGGGGGGGGGGGGAGGGGCGAGAGCAGAAGCGCGCCGCCCCGATGGGAGATCGAGGAAAAGAAATGGCACGCGTGCAGGAAAAGGCCAGGGCTGCGGATCCTCAGCAGAGGGCCGCGGCAGCGTTGCGCGCCGAGGAAGACCGGCAGGCTGCCGCCCGCGCCTGGGAACGCTCCAAGGACCCAGGAACTCTTGCGCCTCGCGATGGTTGAGAGGGCTCGCGCGGAGATAAAAGAGCGCGCCGACTCGAGGCAAGTGAGACGGCGGAGAGGCAGGCGCGAGTTGCCGCTGAGACTGTCGCTGAAACGGTTGCTTCTGCTGTCCGCGGAGTTGGCGTCTGATGGCAGCGTCGAGATGCAGCGGGCGGCTGCCGGAAAGAGGGCCGCCGTCGAAGCGGCCGGGCGCACTGCGGACAGGAACGCAGTTTACCTGCGTCGAGCCCGAGGCGAGGTCGATGACTCGGCAGCGGGGGCGCGCCATCGCCTTGGACTCGAACGCCTCATCCTCGCGCGCGATCGCCGAGGCAAGAAATTTCGCCGCGAACTCAGATGGTGGAACAGGGGGCGCTGCGTCCCGCAACGCGGATGCGGCGAGCCCCGACCCCCCCCCCAGAGCTCGCAAGGCGCTTCTTGGGGCCTTCTCGGAGCGCGCTCGGTGCTCTGTCGGGGTTCTTTTGGGGGCCTTGGAGGCCCTCTTGGGGCCATCTTGGAGGCGATCGATGAAAAGAGGGGGGCCCTTCATCTCCGCCCCCCTTCGGGGGCCGCGATCCTTGCGAGGGATGGCATAACGCCCCCCCCCCTCCCCCCGGCAACGGCCGACAATGGGGCCCCCGACCCGTCGCGGACCCCCCCGCCCAGGTCCAGGGGAGGGGGCAGGGAGAGGTCAAGACTCGCCCCCCGCCCGCAAGCCGCCTCGCCCACTCCCGCCCGCCCCCCCAACGCATACGTGGCACCCGAGTCTGGCCCGAACCTCAGCATATTCAGCAGTCGTCTTTGGATGGGCAGCTACTGGGGGCCAATCCGCCGCCGCCGCCGCGCCGCCGCCTCCGCCGCCGCCTTCGCCGCCGCCGCCGCCGCGCCGTCCGCCGCCGCCGCCGCCGCCGCACCCGCTGCCAAATCGCCGCAGCCGCTGCCGCCTCAGCCGCTCCCGCCGCCGCCACCGCCGCCGCCAAGTGTACTCTGTATTGTTATTTGACAGGGATGGTGGGGGGGGGGGCCGCATCGGGTTGGCCGCGCGTGTTCCGAATTTGGAGGCAGAGTGTGTGTTTGTATTGTTTCTTATACGGGATGGTGGGGGGGCACTCATGGTTCCCGGTTGGCCACCAGCCGCCTGGGGGAGAGGGTGCTTACCAATAGGGAACAGTGATCAAATTAGCCAACTCGAGCGAGCCAGAGGGCCCCGTCCACTCCCACCCGCCCTCCCACAACATAAATAAGAAGCAAGAGCGTCGCGTCCGACGCCTGTCGCTCATCTTATATCGTGGGCGGCTAGACGCTCGGACACGACAGCGGGCGCGCCGGCGGCGAACCGCACTTGCTCGAGGCATTATGAGTTGCCGCCCGCCCAGCTCCTCAACCCGACGGGCCGCAGCGTCGACGACAAGAAAGTCCATGTTGACGAGCAAAGTCCCCGCGCGATGTGCGCCGCGTCCCATTCCCGCTACGCGATTCGCAGCGCCGACGAGGAGAAAATACATGTTGGCGAAAAAACGTCGACGTTGCTATGTTTTTTTTGACAGGTAGGACGAGGGCTCCCGCGTAGGGTTGGCCAGGCGTCCGCGCGCGATGTGCGCCGCGTCCCATTCCTGCTACATTTTCGCGGCGACGACGGCAAGAAAGTCCATGTTGACGAGAAACGTTGGCTTCGCATTGTTTTTTGATGGGTCGGACGCGACCGCCCGCTTAGGGTTACCCGAGCGATGTTCATTCCGTCTTAGTTGTTTCTACATATTTCCCAACTCGACGACATGTTGTCGAGAAGAATTTTTTTTTTGCAGTTCGGACGGAAGGGTTGTTATCAGCCGGTTAGGTGGGGATGTGGGGGGTGTTTAATCATAGGACGTAAGGATAAACTCCTCCTCGAAGGGGAAGATGGGGTTGTAGAAGAGGGGGGTAATCTCGTTAGACCACCGTTCGCCCAGAGGGTTGGTAGGAGAGGAATTGTTTAATCCTCCTCCTCCTCCACCCCCTCCTCCCCCTCATCTTCCTCCTCCTCCTCCTCCTCCTCGTCTCTTCCTCTTCCTCCTCCTCCTCCTCTTCTCTTCCTCTTCATCCCCCTCCCCCTCTTATTCCTCATCCCCTCAATCCTCTTCAATCCTCCACGTCGATCCTCGGCAGTCCGCCCCTCCCAGGCCACGGACGAGGCCGCCGTTCGCAGGTTCCTTCGGGAGGCGTTTGGCCACAACGGGGTGGAGGTGCGCCGCCCGCCGGCTCCGCCTTCTTCCCGCGCGTCCGCCGCCGCTCGTGCCGCCTCCGCTCCGCGGCTCGTCCTTTTCCCCCTCCTCCTGCTCCTCCTCCTCCCTTCCCCCTCCCCGCCCCCTTTTCGTCCTCCTTCTCCTCCTCTTCCTCTTCCTCCTCATCCTCCTCCACCCCTTTTTCCTCCTCCTTCTCCTCCTCCTCCTCTTCCTCCTCCTCCTCCTCCTCCTCCTCCTCCTCCTCCTCCTCCTCCTCCTCCTCCTCCTCCCCGCCCCCCCAGCTTGGATTGCACGAGCCCCGCCATCGACTCGGGGATAAAAACTGGGGCGCCCCCCACCTGCGAAGCCAGTGGGGCGGTCGGCGCCGCTTGTATCGGCGAGGTATAAGTAGAGCCAGGGACCAAGCCACAGGATTGGCGGAGGCGGGAAGGGTCGCGCCCCCCCCCCCATGGGGGGAGCTAGGCTGCTGTGGAACAATGCCCCCCCCCGTCCTCCCCTCCCCCTACTACTCGTTTCTTTTCCCCCTCGTCTCCTTTCATCCCCCTGGGGTTCACATTTCCCACGGCGGTTCATCTTCCCGCGGGGGCGAGGCCAGGGGAATGGCGGAGAACGGGGCGCGCTACCGCCGCCAGACACGTGGTGGTTGATTTTTCAGCCGCGTGCGCTTCAGGAAACTCTGCTTTGTCGCCTAGGACAGGCCTGGGGGTTAGGTGGCAGGCGAGTTTTCGTCGGCCTTGCACTCATGCTGATTGTTGGGTAGATCAGGTACGCTGAATCCACACTGAATCCTTCTCCTCCCCCTCCTCGTGTCCCTCTTCCTCTTGCAGTTTACAGCTGGTGGCGGGTCGATCTCACGCAGCCGCGCCTCCCCCCCGCGGGGCGGTCGCTCTTGAGGGGGTGTCGACCCCAGGGTCGGGACGTTTCTGGGGTCGCGGCGTAGGTCGCATCAAAGTGGGCGACGCGGAGTCATCAAGGGGGGGGAAACTCAACCCAGGAGTGGGTCCAGGCCACTTTCGCCCAGGGTGGAAGGCGCAAACCCGCAGTCCCACGACGGGGACCTTCACCCGCCGAGGCCGGCGAAGGATCCAGTTCCATTCTCTTCCTCCTCCGATCCGCCTCTGACGATCGCTGTTGCGGCCCCTGTTGGCCCGGGTGGCCCTCACGACGTCCCCCGGGACACTGCGATGTCGTTTGTCCCCGAAGTTTGTTGGAAGGCTTCAGGAGAGATGGGCAAACATGTGCAGCAGTGGTGGTTCAAGTCTTGTATGACGTCGCCTAACGAATTCCGCGATACGTGTTGCGTTTTCCAGGGTTGTCCATATTAGTCACGCGCTCTGCGCAGTTGCCAAAAAAAACGCCGGGGATCCATTCCAGGGGGGGCGATGTTCAAACGACGCGTGCAGTGCATGGGTGGGGCCGAAGGGAACACGAGAAATCAGACAACAAACGAGCATTCTAACACGCCCAATCTGTGCACGCACGGTGGCGGGCGGATTTATTGCGAAATCCTTTCGGCCGGTGCCGCCGACCCCGAAGGACCACGACGACGACGACGAAGAGGACATCATCGCGACGACGACGACGTCGACGACGACGACGACGACGACGACGACGACGACGACGACGACGACGACGACGACGACGACGACGACGACGACGGCGACGACGGCGACGACGGCGACGACGATGATGACGACGACGGCGGTGGCGGTGGCGGCGGCGGCGGCGACAGCGACCACTACGACGACGACGGCGGCGACGATGACGACAAGGAAAACCATGTTGTTTGCCATCATGGGGTTGTGTTTGGGTGCGTTAAGGGTTTTCTTGGGCCTTGGCCTCTTCGGAGTTTTTTGGGCGGCACTTGGGCCTCCTGAGGCCTTGTGGCGGAAGGCTAGAAATGTCGGTTTGTGTTCCCATTTTCGGGGGCCTCTTGGGGCCCTCTTAGTACCTCTTAGGCAGTATGGGGGACCTCTCAGGCCCTCTTGACCTTCTTGGGCCGAATTGGTGTGTCGTCTTGGGCCATTCGGGAGCGCTTCTGGCAGTTTTCCTGGCAGCCTCTTGAGCCGTCTTGGTGCGATTTGGGGGCTTCTTGGGCAGTTTCGGAGCGTTGGAAGCCCGAGAAGGCGGGGACGCGAAACACATGGAACAGCTATCTGGAAATCAATGGTTTTCGCCTTTTGGACCCTTTTGGAGCTCTATTGGAGCTCTCTTGGAGCGTCTTGGGGGTTTCTCACGCCGTCTCGCAGGTCCCCTGGGCCGTCTTGGAGCGATCTTGGGCTTCTTCGGGGCCCTTTTGGAGCTAGCCGCGCGCGGTACAAGTACGTAAACTCTAGGCGCTTAGGAGCAAGAAATCGAAGGGGAAAGCTTCTCCCAGCGAGGGGTGCAGGGAAGAAGAAGTTTCCATCGACTCGACTACGACGTTGCTCGTTTTCCCTCTGGCTGGGACGCTTGAGGAGGAAGGTTTAGGGAAAGAGGCTTCGTGGTCGTTGCTGCGCTCGACAAGCTTGAGGGTCTTGAGCTTGCAACGCGCATGAGGACGGTGCGCACAATTGTAAAGGACTAACGACTTCTTGCTTCGATTTCAAGTGGCCGTCGAGGAGCCAGTAGCTGAGATGAGGAGGAGGAGGAGGAGGAGGAGGAAAGGAGAGGAGAGGAGGAGGAGGAGGAGGAGAAATAGGACGAGGAGAAGGAGGATGAGTAGGATGATGATGATGATGATGAGGAGGAGGAGGAGGACGGGGTGGAGGAGGAGGTGGAGGAGCAGGATGAGGAGGAGGAGTTGACGTCCTCTTGTCGTTTTGGCTCTGGCGTCTTGGGGCGGGCGGGGGAGCGGCAAGCCCGTCGGTTGGCGGCCGCCGGAGGTCTCAATCTGCTACAACTACCGCGACCGCAAGGACAGGGTCCACGAGCTGCTGGAGAAGGCCTCCAGCGCCTCCTGACAGTACTTGCCTGCCAGAGGGAGAAGGAGGAGGAGGAGGAGGAGGAGGAGGAGGAGGAGGAGGAGGAGGAGGAGAAGAAGAGGAGAAGAGGAGAAGAGGAGAAGAGAAGAGCAAGAGGAGGAGGAGGACGAGGAGGAGGAGGAGGAGGAGGCGGACGAGGAAGAGGAGTAGGAGGAGGAGGACGAGGAGGAGGAGGAGTAGGAGGAGGAGGCGGACGAGCAATAGGAGGCGGAAGGAAGAAGAGGAGGAGGAGGATCAGGGGCAACGTGGGAGGTTCAGGGTGGGACGCATCGATCCCCAATCGCCCATTGATCGCCGATGTGTGCCCGATAGCCCATCGCTCCCAAGAGCGTGCCAATTTGTTATTGGGGGCCTATCGGCGATGCATCGTCGATTCCGGCCAAATTTTCCCCGTCCTGAGTCAGTCCCCCCTATCGTTGCTTCTGAGATGAGGAGGCGGGGGATGAGGATTGAGGATGAATGCAGCATCCGTTGGTGATGGCGTGTTCGCACAACGTGGGACGGAGTCTCGACTGGGCTGGCGATGTGGTCTTGTCATCCCCCTCCCGCTCCCCCGCGTCGTCGTCGTCCTCCACTTTGCCGACTCAAAGTGTGCCACAGGCAGCCAGCTCTCCCAGGCGCGGCGGCGGCGGCCATCGCGAGGACTGGACGGCCGTTCGGGCATTGGCCTGGGCCGGGTCGGCCAAGCATTTTGCCATCTCTCCCCCCCCCCCCCCGTGGCTGGTGAGCTCCTCCTCCTCCTCCTCCTCCTCCTCCTCCTCCTCCTCCTCCTCCTTTGCCGTCTCCTCCCGCCAGCGCTCCGGGGGGGAAGTGAGGAGGGGCGGGCATTCTCAGAAGGCGGCGGGACTTCTCAGAAGCCCTCCGGCCTTTGAGAAGCCCCCTGTGGCTTCGGAGAAGGCTCGCAATCGGGAGCGTCCAAGACGGGGGTGATAACTGGGGGGGGGATCTCATGGCGGGGGCCATGATATCTCCCCAGATATCATGGCCCCTCATCTTGTTTCAATGCGTCCCTTGACCCCCCCTGGTGCGCGCACATGCCTCGGGCCATGATTTGCGAACCCCCCTCTTGGACGCCCCCGAGCATGAGGTGCCCGAAAGCCGCCGAAAACTAGGAAACCTCAGAGAACTGCAGACGCACGTTGAGGCCAGCTAAGGGAATGAGGTGGCCCAGCGCTGCTTCTGGCCTCCTCGTCGCCACGGCAAGACGCGGTTCGAAAAGCTGGTCAGTTTCGACCCCGGTATGAGTTCGGGGACTGACTTTGAGCGGATTTGCCCTCGCCCTTCCTTTCTTGATCGATGACGGGAAGCGCCTCTGGCATACATTGCTTGTATGAATTAAATGTTCCGCGCCGCACCCCGCACCTGGCTGGCGGATGACGGGAAGCGCGTACGAGGTACGAGGAGCGTGGACCGTTTTTCTCAAAGAAATCTTTATCTGGGGTTCCCTGCTGCACTTCGGACAGGCGCGGGCGGATAACGGGAAACGCGCTTAGAAGGCCCTGGCTCGAGCGATTCTGGCGTCGTTTCTCGTGTCTGCGGGGTCGCAAGCCCCCGCACAGCATGATCATCAGTCGATGGCGGGACTTTTTATGTTTCGTTTCTCTTTTGCCCGCCATCGATAGCCGAAGTTCAGTACGCTGGAGGGCCGAGCGTTCGGTGGCGGCACGACCACCGTGGATCTCCGTTTCGTCGGATGTCACTCATGACGGGAGCGAGCCAGTGCACAGCATGAGGAGCTATCACCGCGCCAGCCGGCCCCTGGCCGCCAGGGGGTGGCCATGGGTCAGGGCCTTTCTTACGGAAGACCAGGACGTTGTGGCAAAGCTAAGTTCCGTGGATCAATCTTACGGTGCGACACAAACGAACGGATGGGCTCTGGCGCACGGGTCGGTGTCTAATGTTCTTTGCCACGTGGGACAGTGTATGCACCGCGGTTATGCCCCAGTGCGGACGTTTGGCTCGAGTCCTTTGCATATGGCTTCTACTATTGTTCCCGCTGTGATTGTACCTGCTAGGCGGCGCCTGCTGGCGCGTACTAGGTGCTTTTTCGACGAGGTGGATCTCCAAACCATTTCACGAGCGAGGTCGACACTGTATCGGAAGGCACGCATCGCATTCACAAGGTGACAGATACGGGGCACTTACTCGACTAGGTGGTGCGGCGTCAATTCGGTCAACTTGCGCTGGTTCGAGGCGGACAAAGACTCACAGCTCAGTGATCTTAGGGTGCGCACGAACGGACAGTTGACTCCGTGGGCTACGGCGATCCGCAACGCCCCACGCCCCAGCCGCGCCAAGTGATGCACCGACCATCATGTTGTTCAGTTTTGTGTTTTTGTCCAACGCCTGTGCTTGTCTTCTCTGTCTCAATTCCTAGGCCCGCTGCTTGGTGACTTTGAGTTTGGCTCGGCCTGCAGCCGCCGACAGATGGTCGACCTGGCTGTCTGCCGCTTCTCCGCATCCCACGTCGAGCGTTGCCGATTTTGCATCTGCTGGTAAGGGCGGTTCTTGTGACACTGTGTTATGCTTGCCCGGCACGCCGCGCGTTGCGCCGTTTGAATCCACGGCCCGCCGCCAGCGTTCGGCCAGAGAGCCGCGTTTTGTCGTGCGGGCCTTCCACCAGTAAGTGGCCGCCTCGTACGTGACGTCTGCGGATGCGCATGCGCGCTAGTCGGTCCTGCGGCTGGCTATGTGGGAGCTCGCGAGACCTCTCAGAGTGGGGTTGCGTCTTGAAGAAAAACGCGCTCAGACGCGAAGGGTCGCGCGATGGACGTTGTTCACGGGCCCGGAGGGGAAATCTTTCTCAAGTGGGAGTGTCCAGGGGGGGAAGGGAGGCGGCGCTGCTCCTTGAGACTCACGTGGCGCATTTGAAAAAGAGCGTTTCGCCTGAGACGGGAAGCTTGCTTAGACTCGAAGAGTCGTCGCGATGGGCGTCGTTTATCGGCCCAGAGGGGGAGTCTTTATCAGGTGGGAGGGGTCCAGGGGGGGAGTGGCGGCGGCGCCGTTCCTCCAGATTCACGTGGCGGGAAGCTTGCTTTGGCTCGAAGCGTCGTGCGATGGTCGTTGCTGATCGGCCTGGAGGGAGATATGGGCCTCCCTCCCTTCCGCCTCGGGCTTTCAGCCGCAGACATTCCATTCCACGCAAGAGCACGGCAGACCACACAGGAGCACGTCAAACTGCACAGGAGCACAAAAGACCAAACAGGAGCACGGTAGACCACACAGGAGCACGGCAGACCCCGCAGGAGCACGGCAGACTGAGCAGGAACAAGGCAGACCACGCAGGGGCACGGCAGACCGAACAGGAACACAGCAAACGGAACACGAGCACGGCAGACCGCACAGGAGCACGGCAGACCGCACAGGAGCACGGCAGACCGCACAGGAGCACGACAGAGCGCACAGGAGCACGGCAGACCACACAAGAGCACTGCATATCAGATGGGCACGGCAGATCACAGGATCACGGCAGACCACTGGAGCATGGCAAAGCACAGGAGCGCGACAGACCCCATAGGAGTTCGGCCCCACAGGAGTATGGCAGAACACACAGGATCACGGCAGATCACACAGGAGCACACAGGAGCATGGTAGACCGCACAGGAGCACAGACAACACAGGAGCACGGCAGGCCACACGAGCACGGCCGACCATACAGGAGCACGGCTGATTACAGGGACTCGGCAGATCACAGGAAAACGGTAGGCAAGAGGAGCACGGCATACCTCAGGAGCACGGTAGTTGGCAGGAACACGGCAGACCACGTAGGAGCACGGCAGACCACGCAGGAGCGCGGCAGACCACAGGAGCACAGCAAAACGCGTCACAGGAACACGGCGGACCACACAATAGCATGTCACACCACACAGGAGTACGGCAGACCACTAGAGTACGGCTGACCACAGGCGCCCGCCCTTCCGTAGCCATTTTGGCTCAAGCGAGCCTGGCTTACGGCAGGCCCTCGGGCGCGCGGGCGCGCCCGCCAGAGGCCATGGTACACTCCGGGTGCGGAGCGGCTTGGGCGGCTGCGTCTGCCCGCACCCTGGCTCGGCGCTTGCGGCGCGCGCGCCGCCAGGAGCTCGGGCTCAGCAGGGCCGCAGCGCTGGCGCAGCGGACCAAGGTCCTGCGGCGTGCGCTGGCGGCGCACTGGCAGCTCGCCGACGTCCTCGGCGGCTTCGCGCCCTGCCACGGCGACGCCCTGGCAGCTGTGAGGCTGCTCGGCGCCGCGCCTGCAGTGCTGATCGATGCCCAGTTCGACCTCGAGGAGGGCAACTGGGCGCGGCACGCGCCGCCTCCAGGACAAGCTCGTCTGCGGCCTGTCCCCACCGAAGCGCGCCGGGCTGAGGTTGCCGAGGCGGCCTTGGCGCAGACCCAGGTCCTGGGCGCAGTGCCGCTCGCGGCGCCCCTGGCCTTGGAGCGGCCGCCTGGAGTGTGGCACGAGGTCTCCTCGCGCGAGTGGGGCAACGCGCCAGCCGGCGGCGATGCGAAGGAGCCCTCGGCGCTCTCCGACTTCCGCGTCGAGCCGCGCGCCCTTCCGCTGGCCGAGGTGCTGGCGCCTGGTGCGTGGCAGGACTTCGACCTCGTCGCGGCGTCCGCGGGCCAGGTCTTTGCGCAGGGGGTTGCGGCGGGCTGGCGGCTCGCTGTTCTGGAGGCCGGGGCCGCGGGCGAGCGCCAGCGGGCCGACCCCTACGACCTGTTGCTGGACGCGCTGGGCATCGAGAGCTGCGACGGCGGGAGCGAGGGCGGCGGCGACGGGGACGACGGCGGCGCCTTCGGGGACCATGCCGTGCCCGCGGCTGGCGAGTCCTCGCCGCTGCTGTTGTCCGTCAGTGGCCGTCTGGGCGAGGCCGTCAGCCACAACGACAGCGACGACGACAGCGTAGGCGGCCAGGGGCAGGAGCATGCCGACGGCGATGCTGCTACTGCCTGCTCCGCCACCGCTGCGTCGGCGCTCAGTGGAGCGGTCGCGACCTACCTCGGCGTGAACGAAGCCGCACTCCTCCGTGGAGACGGAGACGGCGGTCGAACTGCCGCGGGATTCCCTGAGCTGGCCGTGCCGACCGAGGACGCTGAGGGCGAAGTGCGGCGATGGCTCGCCGACTGGTCAAAGGTGGCTCACATTTGCTCCCTGCAGGAGCAGCTGGGGGCTGCTAAGAAGGAAGTGCAGCTCCTGCGCTGGAAGGCAGGGTGGCTGGAGATTGACTCCGTCGGGGTGAGGTGCAGGGCAGGCCTGCCGTTCGTCCTCCAAGAGTCTGGGGGCCGCCTCGCCTGGCATGAGTTCTAGGAGCGGGGGCAGGGACTTCGGCGAGGCCCGTTGTGTGTTTCAGCCCCCACGTGAGGTCAGGCCCGTTTGGCTTTGCAATGCGTGTGCTGGCCTCACCTCGAGGTTCGTGAGGCCCTTCGTCACTTGTTGAGAAGGTGGGCCTCGCGTCTCATTTGCAGCGAGGCAGACTTCCTGGCCGTGCTTTGCGTGCCTCAGTCTCCGCTGCTGTCTTGATTTCTTTGAAATCTTGCGCTTCGCGCGTTTGGCGCTTCGCGCCCTCCCCTGCGGAGGCTCCTTCGGGGCCCCTAGGGTTGGCCCTTGAGGCCCTGGGGCCAACGGGCTCCGTGGGCCTCGGGCTCCTTTTAGCCTTCATAGGCCCCGCAGCTCACAGCTCACAGGCGCCCGCCCGCCTAGCACGCAACCCGCACGCACACCGTATTCCCCCCCCGCCCTTCCGCCCAGCACACCCAACACGCACACGTAGCAGACCACGGCAGCACGGGAGACCATCACGGCACGCCGGCCCAGCCATTCCCATCACGGCACACAGGAGAACGGCTGACAAGCATAGTAGACCACGGGAACACGGCAGACCAGCATGACAGACCACAGCGGCACGGCAGACCATCGCGGCAAACCACAGCAGCACGGCAGACCAACACGACCAAACAGCGCGGCAGACCAGCACAATCCGATGGGATTTGTGTTGGTAGTCTGCGATACCATTCTGGGTTTCTTTGACGTTTTCAAACCGACGTTGTCTGACAAGCGTGGACAGAGCTGCGCTTCCCGTTCCCGTCCGGTCAGGTTGGAATCGCCCCCGGAAGGCTTTCGAGCTGCCCAACGGAGGCCCCAAACACGCCCCTGAGGGCCCCTAGAGCGCCCAAGAGCGCCCCAAGAGGGCCCCAAGAGACAACCCCAGCGCGCTTCAGGAGGCACCCAGGCAGTTTAGGAGAGCCCCGCGAGACGGCCCAAGACAGGCGAAGAGGGCCCCAAGAGACTCCCGAGAGTGCCCCAGAAGTTCCCCCCCCCTAAACGGCCCTAGAAAGCTCCAACAGCCCAAGATGGCGCCGAGACGGCCCAAGAAAGCTCCCAAAGAACACGACGCGCGCAGGCAACCCAAGAAGACCCCAGAAGCCCACAAGAGTACCCGAGAGGCCCCCAAGAAGCCCCCAACAGGCCCCAAAACAACCCCGCGCGGCGCCAGGAACCCCCAGGGTAAACCGTTAGGGTCACCAGGACCCTCTCCTGATTCACGTCCTTCTCCACTTGCCTCTTACTGTCCTCCGTCGTCGTCGTCATCGTCCTCCGCATTCCTCTTCGTTCTCGCCCTCTTTCTCTTTATCCTCGTCCTTGTGCTTCTCTTCATCCTCGTGATGTGATCCTCATGCTCCTCCTCGCTATCATTACGTTTTCCACGTCGTCCTCGTCATCACCTCCTCGTCGCCCTCGCCTTCCGTTTCTTCTTCTTCTTCTTCTTCGCCCAATGAGCTTATTGAGCTAAAGCGGCGCTTCCCGTTCTTGTCCGATCAGGTTTTCTCCGGGCCCATCCAGCGCAGAGCTCTGGCCGCTTCCAAGACGCAAAAAGCACGATACACGATTCTCCCATCGTCTAGATGTGGGCGCTTCGAGCTGGGGGGCACTCCTCTCATGGTTCCGCGCCGTTCAGCTGATCGTGGCCGCGGACGTGCGTGCCAAGACCTACGACCGGGCCTTGTGCGGCCTGACAGAGCTTGGGCTCACTGAGGAGCCAGCAGGGGCAGGGGAGCAGGAGGAGGAGGAGGAAGAGGAGGGGAGGAGGAGAACTCGATTCGATTCGATTCGAGCTCATGGAAATCAAGGAATTGCAACAATGAAGCCCGAGATGTTGTAACAAATGCTCCAGAGTATGCCAGAAGGGTGCCGAGAGGTTTTGCCAAGCCTCTGCTTTGCAAACTTGGTCAGCTGCTGCATTCTGCGCGGTGGCCGCGCTGGCCCTGGCCCGTCCGCAGCCACGAGGCCCCCACGCAGAGGGCTCTGGGCGCGGGCACGCATGCCGCGGGGTTCTGCTTGGCAGCTCCAGGACAGGCTCCACCCATGCTCACGGCGGGGCGGCTGGCTACGAGGGAGGGGTGCAAGCGAGAAGTGTGACGGAGGCCACAGAAGGACAACCTTTGCAGCACCTGTCCTGCTGGCCCTCTCCGCTGGGCGCCACCATACGGAGGGGGCCGCCACGGGTCGCGGGCGCGGCATGTGCCCTCACGCTCCGTCGCTGCGCTCCCCGCTCGCTGTCGTCGCTCCGCCCCCCCTCCCACGACCAGACGACACCTGGCCACGAGACCCACCCTTCCCTCTCCCCACGCTCCTCGGCTGGGGGAATAGTACGACTGGTACAGTGGGCAGATTCTCGTGCATGTACGTCTGAATCGAATGCCTGGCCGATCAAGGTGCTATCATACCTCGTGCTACCAGCTGCTCGTAGCGCACAGTGCTCTCAAATCCTCTCACTTGTCTGTCATCCCTACGTGTTTGGACAGCTCTAGTTCGAACGGTCCCCCCTGTGCCGGGCCCACCAGGTACGTCACAGGTTTTTTTTCATCATTAGTTCCTTTACCAGCTCCCCTACAGAACTTATCCGACCTTGCTCCTTTATGTGAAACTGCATGTGCAGAGCGCAATTCTGGGTGACATTCGGCTCCTGACGATGCATATTCTTACGAAAGTGGCCGCACGCCCGACCGATCTCGCGCCAGTAGAGCTCAGAGATGTGGTCTGTCCAGTACTGGGCGAGACTCTCCTTGCATTTCTGATCCAGATGCTGCATCTCCCCCTCCTGCACAGTCTTGGTGGCTCCGTAGTGCACGGCTGACGTGAGTATGAACATGTGTGGGGGCCGGACGGGGGCGATTCTTGAAGTCAACTTCCCCCGTTTCGCATTTTCGCGAGGAGGAGGGCAAGGAGGATGATGGTGGTAGTGATAAGCATGATGCGAGGATGAGGAGAGACGGAAGATGAGGAGGGGGAGGAAGAGGGGAAGGAGGAAGTGTTCCCGCTACAGTGTTGGCTCTAATTTCACGCTTCTGCTCTTTCCGAACCGTACATGTACATGTTTCGTGTTGCGTCATGTCTTACTTCCATCAGTATGTCTTGCCTAAATGACTCGTCCTCTCGACCAGCACCATACTTCGCGCTGCAATGCGTCACGACGCAAAGCCACGCCATGCTATAATATGATATGTTACGTTCTGCTGTGCACTTCTACGACGTGCTACACTCTGAAGGAGGAAAGGCAAAGGCGAGAGCTATCGAGCGTTTGATCGCGGCCATTTTGGCCCAGCGACCGTCCACCCATCTGACCGGGCCGCACCGCGGCCCGCTACTACCTTACATACATCGAAACAGAAAAGGTTCCACCCTTTACTCTTGAGGTGTATTATCGCCGCTCACGAGGCACTTTTCCTACTTCTGGCACTATCGCTGATACGATACAACAAGGTTGGACGCATGCTTCGCCTTAGGCGATGCATCTGGTTGGGCCTCCCGACCCGTTGTGAACTCGGTAGCGGAGCTGGCCGTTGGTGGTCAGTTCTAGCTCTATTCTTCGTTATCCATGGCATTCTTTGGTGGACTACCGACATGGTGGAGCATCAGGGTGAAGTGGCTCTGCGTGGAGGAATTCTATGCCATCGCAAGGATATTTGCACTGCTGCCTCTGCTCACACGGAGTTTTCTCACCTGAGCCTTACATATCTGCGCTACTACACTCCTGAAGTCCACCCACCTACGCCAATTGGCAATTTCTTCGAAGATACTATGCATGGTAACATGCGTAATGACATCGTGCTGCCTGCACCTTTTCGCAAACTGACGGCAACGTCACCTCGTAACCAACAGCCACGTACAACCGACACCGACATACGGGGCCAGTGTCTTGGCATCATTATCATTGGCCTCCTCTGGGTCTCCATCGGATGTGACGTTGGGCATATGCAGCGTGGTGCAGACGACGCGCGTTCTACCGGCCCTCAGTGGGACCCTCCTGGCAACGCAGTTTTGCGCGAGTTCGCTCGCGAGGTGCGTGCCTGGATCAACGTGACCACAGACACTGCGACTCCCTCCCAACAGGCCGCCGCTTTACAGCGTGGCCGTGGATGTTTCGCAAAGACCATTGCCATGAGAGCCCCCCCAACAGTAATCAACTTTGGAGACAACGCTGGTGGGCGCCACACCGATGGAGTCGCCTACATAATGTTCCTCCTCAGCACCAAGTTCGAGAACCTTGACGACGAACGACAAATTTATCCGGGGACGGCTATCTCATTGACTCTCACGTCCCTACGGGAGAACGGATCGACCGGGCGCTGGCCCGCTTCGAGATCGCGCGCTGGGGTGGTGACACCGCGGGCTTCAACGTCCCAAACTATCGAATCCTGACAGTCGTACTGCTCAGGGCCCTTGGTGTCTTTACTTCGCGTGCACAGCAACTACTACAACCACTGAAGCACCGAATGCCAAGGACTCATCAACAGTTCGACTCCTTACCGGAGCGCATGAGGGCTTACGCCCATATTGCCGAGCGAATCCCCGGCAACATTGGTGGTGTGTTTAACCGCGGGCACCGCGCTGATGTCTTTCATAGTGTCACTCATGCGGGGCAACCTGCCGGCGCAATCTGGAATTGGACATGAAATCCCAGCTCTGGGAGGAAGCGAAGGCCCCTACGATGGCAGTTGCACGCAGCGCGGCATGGACACCACCACGATTAAGAAGACCCTGCAGAGGCTACGACAGAGCGAACAGGTACAAGAGGCGGGGGCACTTGAGGCACTTGCGCGCGGTGCGGCATGGACGGGTCAGCGCTGCAAAGATGCTGGATTTCTGACGGATGGGATCTGCCCAATATTTTCAAAGACGCCCGATACGCTCAAGCACAGGCTTTGTGAATGCGAGATGAATGACAACCCCTCCATAGGCGCGGCGGTCAAGTCTCAATCGATGAGCAGGAAGGCGCTCGAAGATATGCACGAGGACCCCGACGCTGAAGCCTTCTGGGTGCGAGGACTTCTACCGCGACATCGAAATCGAATATCAGAACCGACGGCTTGGCGATTGGGATGGCCCGAAGGTTCTTGCGCGGGAGTTGGCGACCATCGACCCCATCTACTGCGCTGCAGCTTGCGCGGATGGCTCTGGTGCTAGAGCGACGCGCGGATCGACCGGGTCGGACGGGGGCCCGCGCTGCATCGGCGAACCGAGCGGCGCGCGCATCAACCAGGACAGAGACTCTGGCGCCACGATGCTCTGGATCTACACATGTTGGACGGACGAACCGCAGGTGCATCAATTTGTGGCACGATTGAGGACTGCGAGGAGGCCCCGCCCCAAGAGAAGGAGGCATTGCGAACGGCTGTGACAAGGCCGACGGGCGAGGCAACTGAGCAGATCTGCGCGGGGATCACGCGCGACGCCAGCGCATCGGCATCAGCCTGGACAGTAGCCATAGACTGCAACGAGGACAAGAACATCCGCAATTGGAAGCTATGGCGTGAACCTCGCATGGAGAAGTATTTGCGCCAACCAGAGCATCACTTCTTCGTCTCCTATAAGGCCGTTACCAGACCGATGACGTCGGCAAGATAGCGAAGGGCCCATGCGATATGCAGTGGAGGAGCTCAAAGAAGCAAAGAAAGGGCGTCTGCGACTATTGCCTCGCGCTCACCGGCGGGAAGAAAGAAGCATGCGCGGCGCGCCGATAGGGGGGGGCGTCGCGGAGGTGGCGACATTGTTTCGCCAGCTATTCCAAGACCGAGCTCCCACCATTGAAGAATAACGCCCAGCATACTACGATGACAATGACGCAGGCAAGTCCACAGATGGGCCGGAGACGAGCCCCATCGGGTTTTACGACGCCGTGGACGGCGAGCAGAGCGTGCCTGCAGCAGACTATGCAGGATTCTTCTGGGCACTCGCCCTAACCAGAGGCCCGATCGCGATGCGCACGGGCTGCCAGCAGGTCATGAACGGTTGAGCTCAGCAGTGCAATCGACGACCCCAAGGAGCTCTGCGAGGTTAGTGGAAACGCATTGGGCAGATACTATTCAAGCGACCTGGAGGAGCACGCCAAGTCCAAGTGGTCAAGTGCGTGTCGCACCTTGATCTGGAGTCAATCAAACAGTCGGGCCGACCCTTTGAGATAAGCCTGGGCAACGAGTGACACGTTTGCGCGGCGTGGAGCTGAGATGGCCATGACAGATATACGCGCAGAGACCAAGCGGACGATGGAGACCGCGACCCTGCTCGTGCGAGTTCAGCGCAGGGCAGCCGCCATTATCCACAACAGGTGCAAGGGCGCTGACCTCGCCGAGCAAGATTGTCCAGGGCAAGCACCGAACAGGATGGCCAAAGAAAGACGTCGCCAGATCGAGCAATAGTATGAAGAAAAAGAATGGCAAGTGGTATGCCAAGAATGTTGGATGTCGCCAGGCAAATGCAGTGTCATCGATTGGATGAAAGCAAGTGCGTGCACTGGGCGACAGTGCGAAACCCACCGCGCGGACCGCGGACATTCAGTGCTGGTTCCGAACCATGAGATGATAGAGATCAAAGACAAGGTGATCCACCAAAGCCACAATGTCCCAGTTGCTCATGGACAGTTCTGGTGCTGGTATGGTGCGCTGGTGGCTTCGCGCAGTGATGATGGACATGGGATGTTAAAACTGCTGCCGAAGAGGCGCGGGGACAAGGTCACCCCGAGCGGCGAAACAGTACTGCGACGGTCACCCCAAGGGCTGCCACCCAAAGCGGGCCAGATTTTGCCAGATGGGACGGTGCCGCCACATGGTGGCAAGATACAGCGTGTGGCAGCTGGGAGGCGACGACGTGGGTGACTATGTGTTCGGGACTACGGCCCCGCTGACATACTCTGCCCTGGAGTGGTAGGGAGGTGGAGGCCCGCCCTGTCTCTAGGGTGGGCTACCCTGCCGTGGAGAGGCAGTGAGGTGGAGGCCGCCCTGTCTCTGGGGTGTGCTCGCGACCTCTGAGATGCTCTGCCCTGGTGGTGGCAGTGAGGTGGAGTCCCGTCCTGTCTTCTGGGTTGGGTTCGCGACCTCATGGGGGCCCGCGTGGTCTGCGCGGGCAGCGGGCGCGGCGGCCATGTCGACCGCGCTGCCCTCCATCTCGAGTCCTCGAGTCCTCCTTTTCCTCCTGTTCCTCCTCCTCCTCCTCCTCCTCCTCTGTCTCCTCCTCCCTCCTCCTCCTCCTCCTCCTCCTCCTCCTCCTCCTCCTCCTCCTCCTCCTCCTCCTCCTCCTCCTCCTCCTCCTCCTCCTCCCCCTCCTCCTCATCCTCCTCTTCCTCCTCCTCCTCTTCCTCCTCCTCCTTGCCTCTCCGCCTCCGCCCCCTCGCAAACAGGACGAGAAGGCGGAGGTGCGCAGCTGGCTGCCGCACAGCGGCGGCGGCGGGAGCGCTGGAAGCGCGCCAGCTGGCAGCGATTCTTGCGGGTCCAGCAGCTCGCCGAGGCGCGAACGCGCGGACAGGCCGCTGATACCAGGCGGCCGGGCTCTGGCGCGGTCGAAGTTGGAGGGTTTCGGATGTTTTGTCGATTCCCGTCGATTTTGGGGAGACACCTTCAGGTGGCCAAGTATGGGAGCATTGGGCTCGAGGTTCCAAGCTGGACGTTTTGTCGATTCCCGTCGAATTTCCAGCCTCGGGGTGCTGTCCAGCGGCTGTTTCTCGCGGAGAGCGTTTCAGGGGTGTCCGGATCGTCCCGAACGGCTGCTGGCGACCGAGTTATGGCCCGAAAACCGACGGGGGCCGTCCCGCCCGCGTGGATCGGGATGCGGAGTGGCGGCGGGGCGGCGGGTGGCTGCCATCTTTGACGCGAGCTCGTCGTCGTCGTCGTCGTCGCAGGAGGAGGAGGAAGAGGAGGAGGAGGAGGAGGAGAGGAGGAGGAGGGAGATGATGATGATGATGATGATGATGATGATGATGATGATGATGATGATGATGATGATGATGATGATGATGATGATGATGATGATGATGATGATGATGATGATGATGATGATGATGATGATGATGATGATGATGATGTGATGTGGTGTGTGATGATGATGATGATGAGGATGAGGATGAGGATGAGGATGAGCATGAGCATGAGCATGAGCATGAGCATGAGCATGAGCATGAGCATGAGCATGAGATGAGCATGAGGATGAGATGAGATGAGGATGAGGATGAGGATGAGGATGAGGATGAGGATGAGGATGAGGATGAGGATGAGGATGTGGATGTGGATGTGGATGAGGATGAAGATGAGGATGAGGATGAGGATGATGAGGAGGAGGAGGAGGAGGATGAGGATGATGAGGAGGATGAGGATGAGGATGAGGATGAGGATGAGGAGGAGGACGAGGAGGAGGAGGAGGAGGACGGAGGAGGACGGATGAGGAGGAGGAGGAGGAGGAGGAGGAGGAGGAGGAGGAAGGTGCACAGCGAGGGGGCTGACGAGGGCGAGGTCCGGGGAACGAGGATTGATGGGGGAGCGAGAGGATTCAGGATGAGGCCGACGCGGAGGAGGAGGAGGAGGAGGAGGAGGAGGAGGAGGAGAGAAAAGACAGGAGAGAGGCAAGCTAGGTGATTTCGCGCCATATCGGACATCAGACCTCTCCCACGCATCCATTCCCATAGCGCTGATTTGTCTTATATTTTTCTCTGTCCACTGACGGGTGTCTGAGCAGATCCGGAATTTCTAAAATGGCCCCATCGCGTTTTACGTAAGCAGAAGGGTGGAGCTGTGTACATTGGAGTGTACATTGGAGGAGGCTGAATAAGAGGAGGAGTAGGATGCGGAGGAGGAATAGGAGGAGGAAGAGGAGGAGGGACGGCCGCAATTATTTTGGTAGGCTAGGGGCCCACACACCCTCGGGACGAGGATTGGCTCCACCGTCGTGGCCTTGCTTGGTGGGCCGCCCGCTCCGTCCCCCTCAAGCCTCAGGAGATGGAGAGGGTGGAGGGACTTTATGCTGTTACGGGCGAGACCCGCGACCCCGAGGTCGAGTACGAGCTCGATCACTCTTAATCTTCTTCTTTGGCCTCTGGACCGCGAGCCTCGCCGTCTGCGGTAAGGCGCTCCCCCGCGGTGGCGGAAGTGGTATTCGCGCCACCCTCGGCGGGACCCTTCCGTGCACACGCGGTGGTTCCCTTAGGGGGCCGCCTCCGTAGAAGCGGAAAGAGGAAAGAGGAGGCACCGCCGCAGCAGCAGGAGCAGGGTTAGGAGGAGCGGGAGGAACTGGAGGACTACGGGAAGGTGGAGGAGGGGAAAGGGGGGGCGACAACGACGTGGAAGGACCCCCATCCAGAAATCGGGCCCGCGCCCGAGGCGAGAGCCCCATCCCGAACGACGGAAATAAAGTGCCGATCTTGAAGTAAGGCCAATGCTGCATCGGGAACACCTTTCGAAACACCGAAAATGGATTGAACGAAGAAACATTGTTTTTTTGTAATCAGGTGTGTGAACACACTATGCGGAGAGGACGGAACATCTTCCAGGCAGAGTCGGTGGGTAGGCGAGATTAGTATGCATATTGAGAATTTGCAGACATGAAAGAAAAGGATGATGAGGAGAACCAGCGGGGGGACGAGCGAGGAGGAGCGAGGAACGACGAGGGGGAGAAGGGACGAGCGATCAGGAACGATGAGCGAGGCGCGAGGAGTGAGGAGTGAGGAGGAGGAACAGCAGGAGGAGGAAGGGAGGAGGAGGAGGAGGAGGAGGAGGAGGAGGAGGAGGAGGAGGAGGAGGAGGAGGAGGAGGAAGGGGAGGGGGATGAGGGGAGGAGGAGGAGGAGGAGGGAGGAGGAGAGGAGGAGGAGGAGGGGAGGAGGAGGAGGAGGAGGAGGAGGAGGAGGAGGAGGAGGAGGAGGAGGAGGAGGAGGAGGAGTGAGGAGGAGGAGCACGAGCAGCAGGAGGAGAAGGAGAAGGAGAAGGAGGGAGGAGGAGGAGGAGGGAGGAGGAGGAGGAGGAAGACGAGCAGGAGGAGGACGATGAGGAGAAGGAAGAGGAAGATGAGGAGGAGGAGGAGGGGGAGGGGGAGGGGGAGGGGCTGGGTCGGGAGGGGGAGGGGTCCAGACGGGGAGGAAGGGGGGGAGACAGTGAGAGGCGGCCCTGTGCCAGATGGAAGGGGGTAGCGGCGGCGTCTGCTGCCAGGGCCTCGTGCCCTCGAGGGGGGGGCGCGGCCCAGGCGGCCGCCGCCGCGTGGGCGGCCAGCCGCCGCCAGGCGTTTCGTCGGACTTGTGCAGGGAGGGCTGGCTGAAATGACGGGGGGCGGCGGCGGCGAGATGGTGAGCTGACGACGACGATGGTGAGCATGATGAGTATGACGATGATGCTGCTGATGATACTGATGCTGCTGCTGCTGCTGCTGATGATGATGATGATGATGGTGATGATGATGATAATGATGACGATGATGCTGATGATTATGATGATACTGCTGATGATGGTGATGGTGGTCATGGTGATGGTGATGGTGATGATGGTTGTGATGATGTTAATCATTATGATGATGCTGATACTGCTGATGCGGATGATGATGCTGACGGCGATGATGATGACGATGATGCTGATGCTGATGCTGATGATGATGCTGATGCTGATGCTGCTGTTGATGATGATGCTGATCATGATGATGACGATGAGGATGAGGAGGAGGATTATGCTGATGCTGATGCTGATGCTGATGCTGATGCTGATGCTGATGCTGATGCCGCTGCTGCTTGTACGTAGTGGCTCTGGTGGTGGTTGTGCTGCTGATGCTACTGATGATGATGAGGAGGAGGAGGATGAGGCTGAGGATCACGAGGATGATGCTGATGATGGCGACGAGGATGATGATGATGACGATGGTGATGCTGATGATGATACTGATGCTGCTGATGATGATGATGTTGCTGATGAGTTTGCAGCTGATGATGATGATGTTGATGATGATGATGCTGATGATGATGATGGTGGTGGTGGTGATGATGGCGATGGCGATGCTGATAATGATGCTGATGATGATGCTGGTGATGATAATGATGCTGATGCTGCTGATGATGCTGCTGATGATGCTGCTGCTCATTATGCTGCTGACGATGATGCTGATGATGATAATGATGATGTTGATCATGATGGTACTGTTACTGATGATGCTGATGACGATGATCACGATCATGATCGTGATGATGACGATGATGATGATGCTGGTGATGCTGATGATTATTATTATGATAATAATACTAATAATAATAATAATGATAGTGATGCTGATGATGATGCTGATGCTGATTCTGATGATTATGATGATTCTTATTATGATGATGAATGTGGTGGTGGTGGTGATGGTTATGATGCTGTTGCTGCTGATGACGATGCTGACGATGACGACGATAATAACGATGACGATGATGACCAGCATGAAAAGCCAGGAGGAGTCAGAAGGAGCCAGGAGGAGCCAGGAGGAGGAGGAGGAGCCAGGAGGAGGAGCCAGAAGGAGCCAGGAGGATCAGCAGGAGCAGCAGGAGCAGCAGGAGGAGCCAGGAGGAGGAGGATCATGAGGAGCAGCAGCAGTGGGAGCCAGGAGACGCACGGAGAAGTACGGAGGAGGGGGAGAAGGAGGAGGACCAGGGTAAACCCAAGACCCATCAATGATGTTGGAATAATCCCTCCATCCAAGCTCCCTCTTCATAGGCCCCTGCGAGGATTCATTTCCACTGACGGAACTGCCTTGTTGGGAGACAGCCGTTTGAACATCCTGAAGCGTGCCAGACACCATTCTCGGGATTCCAACGCCACGAATCAACATGATTGTTGCGTCGTGACGATTCTGAAGCGTGCCAGAACATCCTTCTTAGGACTTCAACACCGCGAATCAACGTAACTGTTGCGCCCTCACAATCCTGAGTCCTTCCAAAGCACACTTTCTGGCACGTTGAACATGGAAATGCGGGAAACTCTTGCAAATGTTTAATGCGAGTGTGCGCGGCGCTACGGCGAGGGCCACATTTTGAAAAGGAACCGTTTCGATCCGTGAAACTCTTGCAAATGTTGAAAGCCAACGTGAGAGGGGGGAGAGGAAAGAGACACATTTTGAAAACCACCCGCTCTCCATGTGTGAAACTGCTGCCAATTCTAAAAACGAATGTGCCCGGCGCTCAGGCGAGAGCCACATTTTGAAAACGGCCCGCCCTACATTTGTGAAGGTGTTGCCAATTCTTAAGCTTCGGAGTCATCAGTGGTGAGGAGGTCTCAGGCGAAACGCCCTGCCTGCACACTCGACCAGCCTCGGGATGCGACAGAGAGGAATTCCCTTGGGGAAAAGGATTGGAGGAGGAGGAGGAGGAGGAGGAGGAGGAGGAGGAGGAGGTGGCTCCGTTCCATTCCGCCCGTCGGTGGTGGAGAAAACTATCGAAATCGAGGAGCCCTGGGTGCCCCGCTTCCCGCCCCCGCGAGGGGTGCCGGACCCCAGGCCTGGAACCCGCGAAACCACCCAAAATGGGACACTGATCCCCCCCCCCTCCTCAGTGTCCCGGGCCCCTCCTGGTACACCGTGGGGGAGGGTCGGTGTTTTTCGGTGGACTTTGGGGCGTTCTGCCTCTCCTCCGCCCTTTTTCTGTCCTCCTCTGTCCGCCTCTCCTCACTCTGCCCCTCCCTCCCCTCCTTCGCCTTCCTCTCGAGGGCCTGCCCCCTACACACAGGTCACGGTGGCCGTGAGGGGTTACCCTGTGGCGAGCGGTAACAACCGCCCGAACTCCTGCCCCGGGTGTGCGACATGTCCCCTCGTTTCATTGTGAACCCCCTTGGACTTGCCGTGAGCCCGGCACCCATTCCACGTGCCCTGCCAAGGTGACGGTATGTTGCGTTCCCCGAGGCTACTGCGACGATTGGTCTCACGAGACGGCGTCGGAATCTCGAAAGGCAGGCGGAGCCTGTCAGCGCTCCCTGGGGTCCCCCTCTCCCCCCTGGTTCCTTCGCGCCACGGCCGGGCTGTGGGAGGGCAGGTTTGGTGGCTCGGGCTGTCTGCAGTGGTGTGGTGTGTTCCTGGCATCGTTGTTGTACAGTGCGCTCGGTCTGCTCTTTTTCCTTTCGGTCTCTATATTCCTAGTTTGGGCTTCAACCTTCTTGCCCTCAGTGCATGCATGAATGAATGAGGAGGAGGAGGAAACGGAGGAGGAGGAGGAGGAGGAGGAGGAGGAGGAGGAGGGAGGAGGGGGAGCGAGGCGCGAGGCGCGAGGCGCGAGGCGCGAGGAGCGAGGAGGAGCAGTAGGAGCGAGGAGGAGCAGTAGGAGCGACGAGGAGCGAGGAGCGAGGCGTGGCGCGCGAGCGCCACCCGCGCGATGCCGGCGCGGGTGGCCGCGCCTGCCGCTGCGCAGGCGGAGCGACGGGCGGCGCCTTCCGGCTCCAGAACGCTGGCACCGTCTTCGCAGTCGCCGCCCGGGGGGGGGGATCGCTTGGACGTGTACATCTTTCTCGTCGAAACCAGCGCCAGAGCATCTAAATAATCTTGGAGCATCTGGGATCATCTTGAGGAGTGACAAAGCACGCAACTAAACAACGCACGGGGAATGACGTCCGAGCGATGGCAGGGGGGGGGGGGCATCGGGGAGGGAGGGGGGCTGGGAGTGAGGCGCTGGCGCTACTATTCTGCATAGAATGTCTGCCCCGCAGGAATCTATTGCTTCTGCACTGAATTCCTTATTCAGCTGGCACCATCATTCGCTTTCATGCTCACGATATAACGTGATGCATGGCCTTACGCCGACCAACTTTTAGCCGACGTTCCCCGGCTGGCCGCGCACGGCCTCAGGCTGAACCCCGAACCCAGAACCCAGGAGGGCTCTGACTTCGAGGGGACGGGCGGCCCTAACTTGCCCATCGGCGACGAGCCCGGGGGGGAGGCGAGAGGGGGCAGGCTTGCTCAGAAGGCTCCGAAGGCCTCGGGCCTGCTCAGAAGGCACGGCTAATTTCTCAGAAGGCGCGAGGGCTTATGAGAAGCCACGCCGCCTTCTTCGAAGACCTGCCCCCTCGCACCTCCCCCCTGGGCTCGCTGCCAGACCAACCGGAGCGCTCCCCAGCCCGAAATACAGGACGCGTCCTTGGGCAGACCGACGGTACTTGCCAGGACGCTTCCATGCGCTGCCCGAAGGCACCTGCCAGAAAGCCTCCTAGTGCGCCCGAAGGTCCTTACCAGAGGAGGAATCGAGGAGAGGGGGGGAGGGAGGGAGAGAGGGAGGCTTTGTGCCGCCCCCCCTCGCCGCTCCTCTCCCCCGCCCTTCCCTGGAGGCTTGGCATCGCTCGGACGTGTGACCATCCTGGGGGGGGGGGGCAAAGACACGCACGAAACCGAAACATGCACGGCGAATGGACGTCCAAGCGATGGCAAGAGGAGGGCCCCCCCCGCGGGAGGTCCTCCCACACAACTACGACCTGCAGACCGTCCGCAGGAAGTTCGACAACGCCCCGGCGTACATGCCGAGGACCGCGCGAGCGCACAATTAAGGTTGCGCGACCCTTCCCTGGAGAGACCTTTGCTGCGCGGCTTCCGGGAAGTATCGTTATCGTCATCATCATCAGCATCATCAGCATCATCAGCATCATCATCACCATCATCACCATCACCATCATCACCAGCACCACCACCATTACTGGCATCGTCATCATCACCATCATCCTCAGCAGCATCACCAGAGTCATCATCATAAACACCACCACCGCTACCAGCATGGGCATCATCATCACAATCATTACCATCACCACCACTACTACAGCCACCACCGTCACCATCATCATCATCAGCATCATCATCATCATCATCATCCTCATCATCATCATCATCATCCTCACCACCACAATCATGATGATGGTCATCAGCATCAATAACAACATCATAATCATCATAATCATCATCATCAGCATCATCATCATCATCATCATCAGCATCAGCATCAGCATCAGCATCAGCATCAGCATCAGCATCAGCCTCAGCATCAGCATCGCCATCATCATCAGCAGCAGCATCATTATCATCACCATCTTCATCCGTTCCTACTTACCTTTCACTCTCGCCCTCCGTCTGTTCTTTTTCCGTCCTCCTCCTTTTTCTCTTCCCTCTTCTCGCCCTGCGCCCTCCTGCTGCTTCCTCCCTCCGTGCTGCTGCTCCTGCTCCTGTCCCGTCTCCGTGGATCTCCTCCTCGGCATCGCTCGGGCGCGTTTTTTTTTTGTTGTTCCCCCTCGGCGGTGATCATCGATGAGCACCTTGGATCATCTCGCAACAAAAATCACGCACGAGACCGAAAAGTGCACGGGCAAGGAACGTCCGAGCGATGGCAGGGGCTCCTCCTCGTCCTCCTCCCTCGATGTGCCCCAGAGGTCGAGGCAGGCCCACCGCTTCTCTTTATAGTTCGGCGGCCCTGGCCGCTCCCCCGCCCGCCTCCGAGCCGCCAAACAGGAGAAGCACGCAGAGAACCAGCGTGCCGACGCTGCCCCACCAGGCCCGCGCGGGAGCCCCTCGGCTGGCCGTGGGTCTCCTCCTCCTCCTCCTCCTCCTCCTCCTCTTCCCCCTGTTCCACCTCCTCCTCCTCCCCCGTCCTCGTCCTCCTCCTTTTCCTCGTCCTCGTCCTCCCCCTCCTCCTCCTCCTCCTCCTTCTCATTCTCCTCCTCCTCGTCCTCGTCCTCGTCCTCCTCTTCCTGTCCTTCGCTGGGACATGGTATCGTATCCTGGTGCCAGCGCCACTTAACGCGAAAGGCACACTGTCACTTAGAGTCGACGCATGGGCGCTGGGGACAAGCAGACGGCCGTTGCCTTGCTGTTGTGGAGGGTTTAACTCCGTCGTGCCGTGGGTTCCACGCGCAGGTGAGGCACACTTGGCCCTCCTGGGTCCGCGTAGTTGGCCCGCAGTATCAGGGTCGGCGCAGCGGGGGTCCGCAGAATCAGGACCCGCATCGTCTCCAGAGGTGGGTGTTTCGTTCGCCCCAGCGCAACCGGAGGCGGTATACAACCTCGGGGCAGGTGCCGGCAAGTGGGCCGGCGTCAAGCTCTTGTCCTATCCTAGCGCGCACGTTCGTCTTGGTGCACCCTTCGGGGACGACTTTCGCTGTCTTTTGGCACATGTTCCTCCTCCTCCTCCTCCTCCTGCTCCTCCCCCTCCTCCTTTTCCTCCTCCTCGTCCTCCTCCTCTTCCTCCTCCTCCTCTTCCTCCTCCTCTTCCTCTCCTTCCTCCTCCTCCTCCCCCCCCTCCCCTTCTACCTCCTCCTCCTCATCATCCGCCCTCCGCCCTTCTCGTCGCCTTCCTCGTCGTTGTCGTCGTCGTCGTCGTCGTCATCCTCATCCTCCTCATCCTCCTCTACTTCTTCCTCGGCCTCATCCTCATCTTCATCATCATCATCATCATCTTCTTCCCCCTCCTCACCCTCTTCCACTCCCCCTCCTCCCCCTTCCTCCGCCTCTTCACTTTCGTCCACCTTCCCCATTGTTTTTTTTCGGACCGATCGATCGATGCGCATGCACTTCGGCAGCGCAACCGACATGCAAAGCCTATTGCGCGCAAGCGTATACATAACGTTGGCAGTTCACATACATATATATATAGATAGGTCAAAGAGAAAGCGTGCCAGTGGATGGCCCTGAAAACACAAAAAGGATGTAACATTTTCGACCCCACCCCTCCCTCTTTGGCGCTGGACAGGGGGGGGGGTCGTTCGACCCCCCCCCCTCCCCCCTTTTGCGTCGAACAGGGGGCTGGGGAGGGGGCCTCTCGGGTAGTGCATAGGGAGGAAAGTGTTTTGGGTAGCGATTGGTGAGAAGTGGGTTTTTGATAGTGAGTAGTGCGCAGTGAGTCGTGAGTAGTGAGTAGTGAGTATTCGGTAATGGGTAGTGGTGGTGGTGAGTAGTGCGTAGAGATTAGTGAGTAGTGAGTCGTGGGTAGTGGGTAGTGAGTAGTGGGAAGGAAGTAGAGAGTAAGGAATTATGAGTAGTGAGTAGTGGGGAGTGAGTAGTGTGCAGAGAGTAGTGCATAGTGAGTAGTAAGCAGGGACTAGAGATGAGGGAGTAGGCAGTAGCGGATAGCGAGGAGAGAGTAGAGAGTTGTGAGTAGTGATTAATGCGCAGTAACTAGTGAGTAGTGAGTAGTGAGTGGTGAGTTGCTAGTAGCGAGTCGGGAGTAGCGAGTAGCGAGTAGGGCCTTGTGAGTAGTGAGTAGGGAGGAGGGAGTAGTCAGGAGTCAGTAGTGCACAGTGAGGAGAGATTAATGCGCAGCGAATAGGGAGTAGCGAGTAGTGAGCAGTGAGTAGAGTAGCGAGTAGTGAGTAAGGAATCGTGAGTAGTGAGTAGTGAGTAGTGAGCCGCGAGAAGCTGGTATGGAGTAGTGGGTAGTGAGTCGTGAGTAGTGGGTAGTGAGTAGCGGCTTGCGACTACTGCCTAGTGAGTAGAGAGTAGGGAGCAGTGAGTAGCGATAGTGCGTAGTGGGTAGTGAATATTTCGTATTGGGCTGCGAGTAGCGGATAGTGAGTAGTGGATTGTGGGAAGTGCGTAGTGAGTAGTGAACTGTGAGTACTCAGTAGGAAGTAGAGGATAGTGGTTAGTGGGTGGCCAGTACTGCTTAGTGAGTAGTGGGTCGTGAGTTGTGTTTTGTGAGTATTGAGTACTGGGTAGTGAGTGGTGAGTAGCGAGCCGGGAGTATGAAGTAGTGAGTAGTGAGTAGTGGGAGCGTAGTGAGTTGTGGGTAGTGAGTAGTGCGTATTGGGTAGAGAGTAGGGCGTAGGGAGTGGCTTGTAGTGAGTAGTCAGTAGTGAGTAGTGAGTACTGTGTAGGGAGTAGCGAGTAGTGGAGAGTGAGTAGTGCGTTGCGGGCAGTGAGTAGTGAGTAGCGAAGTGTGAGTAGTGAGTAGTGGATCGGTTTTAGTGGGTAGTGAGTTGTGATTCGTGATTAGTGAGTAGTGGGTAGTGAGTTGTGTGCTAGTGAGTAATGAGTGGTGAGTATTGAGTAGTGGGTAGTGGGTAGTGAGTAGTTTGTAGTGAGTAGTGAGTGTAGGGAGTAGGGAGTAGGGAGTAGGGAGTAGTGGGTAGTGGGTAGTGAATCGTGGGTAGTGAGTAGTGAGTCGTGAGTAGTGAGTAATGACAAGCGAATAATGAGTAGCGAGTAGTGAGTTGTGGGTAGTGAGTAGTGCGTAATGAGTAGTGGGTGCTGTTTGGGGCTAGGGTTTGGGTTTTGGGCTAGGGTTCGGGGTCAGGGTAAGGGTGAGGATTAGTGCCAGGGGTGGTAGGGGTCGGGTTCGGGAGACCGGGGGCGCCGTGGCGAAAGGGGGGGCGGGTTCGAATTTGGCGGCCAAAGGGGGGAGGGGGGGGGGTCGACCCCCCCACCCCCCTTTTGAAACAGGGGGAGGGGGGGGTTCTTCGACGACGGACCGGGAAAGGGGGGGAGGGGGGGGTCCCAACGACGGATCGGGAAAGGGGGGAGGGGGGGGGAGTCGCCGACGACGGATCGGAGAGGGGGGGGGTCCCCCCCCCCCTTGGGGTCATCCAGCGGCGCGCCCTCTATCAAAGACGCCTTCGGCGAATCACCGCCGCCCCCTGCCCTTTCGGAAGCGCCTATGTGGCCGAACGTTGTGGCCAGAGGCCTGCCAAGCTATCGGACCATGTGTTACCCGAATCGGTTTGGAAAACTTTCGGGGAACACGTGGGGGAGAATGAACATGAAGAGGAAGAGGAAGAGGCCTCTTGGGCCGTCTTGAGCCGTCGCAATGGCGAGAAGAAACAAATGCCAACATCCTTGAAACACTTGGGGAACATGAAGGAATTTGGTCTCTTCGGGCCCTCCTGGAGGACCCCTTGCAGGCCTCCTGGGCCGTCTTGGAGGCCTCTTGTGGGCCTCTTGGGCCGTCTTGGGCAATAGTGACGCCATGTTAGGCCGTCTTGGAGGCATCTTGGGCCATTTTGGAGGCATTTTGGGGGGCGAAGCTATCGGACCATGTGTCCCCCGAGTCGGTTTGGAAAGCCTTCGGGGAACACGTGGGGGAGGAATAGGAAGAGGAGGAGACGAAGGAAAAAGGAGAAGGGAGAGGATGCCTCTTCGGGGCCGCATGGGGCCTTCTTGGGACTTCTCGGGGGCCTCTTTGGCTTTTTTAGGGCGTTCCTGGCCCGTCGGACGCCGTCGAGAGCCGTCTTTGGGGCCTCTCTAAACCAGCTTGGGGCCCTCTTGGGGCGCTTCGTGGCCGTCTTGGAGGCAATCTTGGGCGTCTTGGAGGCCTCTTGGCCCGTCTTGGGGCCGTCTTGGGGGCCCTTGTGCCATCAAGGGGCCCTCTTGGAGGCCTCGTGGGCGATCTTGGGGCGATCTTGGCAGCCTGTGGGCCGTCTTGAGCCGTCTGAATGCCGAGAAGAGGCAAATGCCCAAATCCTTCAAAAACCTCAGGAATATCGATGATTTTGGACTCTTCGGGCTCTCCTGGAGGACCTCTTGGAGACCTCTCGGGCCGTCTTGGAGGCTGCTTGGGTGAACTTGGAGGTATCTTGGACCCTCTTGGGCCGTCTTGGAGGCCATCTTGGACCATCTTTGGCGGACTTGGAGGCCATCTTGGACCATCTTGGAGGCCATCTTGGGCCGACGTGGCCTGGCCATCTTGGACCGTCTTGGAGGATTGTTTGTAGAATTTAGCTCCTTGAAGATCGTCCCGGGACCCCGGCGGGACGCGCCGGAGCCCCAGGGAGAGTTCTTTTGGAAAAGAACCAAAACCAAAACCGAATATATATATATATATAGAGAGAGAGAGAGAGAGAGAGAGAGAGAGAGAGAGAGAGATTGGCCGTCGGCCCATCCCGCCACCGTGCCTGCGTTGTGGGTGTGAAGCCTATTCGATGTTCTTTGGGATCTCGTGGGAGGCCTCTCAGGGGCCTCTTGGAGGCAGCTCGGTACCTCTTGGGGGGCGTTTCGGGGCCTCTCGGGGCGTCTTTTGGGCTTCTTGGGGCCTCTTGTTGGCATCTTGAGGGCCCCTCGGGGCCTCCTGGGCGCCTCTGGGGGTCTTCTGGTGGCCTCTTGGGGCGGACTGTTCGGATTTTCGGTTCGTGCTCCTTCTCCTGGGCTCCAATTGGGGCCGTCTTGATGACCTCCTGGGCCGTCTTGGGCGCCTCGTGGGTAGTCTTGAGGCCCTCTTGGGCCGTTTTGGTCCCCTCGTGGAGGCCTCTTTGGGTCTGAAACTGGGTGGCTGCGGGTTTTTTTGTTTACCCCCGCAACCCTGTGACCTTGCAACCCTGCGACTCCGCAGCCCTGCGGCCCCGCAACCTCGCCACCCCGCAAGTCCCCAGCCCCGCGACCCCGCAACCCCGCGACCCCGCAACCCCGCACCCCGCGACCCCGCAACCCCGCGACCCCGCGACCTTGTGATCTTGCAACCCTACGACTCCGCCACCCCGCGAACCCGCAACCCCACGACTTCGCAACCCCCGACCCCGCAACCCCGCGACCCCGCAACACCGCGACCTCGCAACCCCCCGACCCCGCAACCCCGCGACTCCGCAACCCCGCAACCCCGCAACCCCGCAACCCTACGACTCCGCGACCTCGCAACCCCGCGATCTCGCAACCCCCCAACCCCGCCACCCCGCGACCCCGCAACCCCTTATCCCCGCGACCTCGCAACCCCGCGACCTCGCAAGCCCCCAACCCCGCAACCCCGCGACCCCGCAACCCCGCGACCTTGTGGTCTTGCAGCCCTACGACTCCGCAACCCTGCGACCCCGCAACCCCGCGACCCCGCAACCCCGCGACCCCGCAACCCGCAACCCCGTGAACCCCGCGACCCCGCATTCCCGCAACCCCGCGACCTCGCAACCCCCCGACCCCGCAACCCTACGACCCCGCACCCCCACGACTCCGCAACCTCGCAACCCCGCGACCTTGCATCCCCCCAACCACGCAGCCCCGCAACCGCGCGACCTTGTGATCTTGCAGCCCTACGACTCCGCAACCCTGCGACCCCGCAACCCCGCGACCTCGCAACCCCCCAAACACGCAACCCCGCAACCCCGCAATCCCGCGACCTCGCAACCCCTTAACCCCGCAACTCCGCGACCCCGCAACCCCGCAACTTTGGATTCTGCCACCCCTTGGAGAGTCGAGAGACCACAGGGTCGCGGGGTTGCGGGATTCTTTCCTCTTGGGAGAGAGTTGAGAGGCCACAGGGTCGCGGGGTTGCGGGATTCTGCCTTCTCTGGGGGGAGTCGAGATGACGCATTGTTGCGGGGTCGCGGGGTTGCGGGTTCTTTCCTGGAAGAGAGCTGAGACGGCACATGATTGCGGGGTCGCGGGATTGCGGGATCCTTTTTCCTGGGAAAGGTTCGAAATGGCACAGGGTTGCGCGGTCGCGGGGTTGCGATATTCTGCCTTCTGGGAGAGAATCAAGATGACACAAGTTGCGGGGTTGCGGGATTCCGCCCTCCTGGGATATACTCGAGAGACACAGGGTCGCGGGGTTGCGGGATTCTGCTTTCCTGTGAGATAATCGAAAGGCAGCAGAGTTGCGGAGTCGCGGGGGTGCGAGATAATCGAGATTGCACAGGGTTGTGGGGTCACGGGGTTGCGGGTTTTTTTTCTTGGGAGAGAGTCGAGATGGCACAAAGTTGCGGGGTCGCGGGGTTGTGGGGTTCTCTTTCTTGGGAGAGAATCGAGATGGCACAGGGTTGCGGGGTTGCGGGGTTCTGTTGTTTGGAAAGAGTCGAGGTGGCACAGGGTCGCGGGGTCGCGGGTTTGCGGGCTTCGAGAGTC